TTTCATTGCAGTCCTATAGCATACACATTCTTAATAAATTTATTTTTAAAAATTGCCTTTTTCAAAAAGTGACTTAAATGACCTTTATAATGTTTAAGTTATATCTCAAATAACATTGGAATATATAGATGCTAGCCCCCATTTTAAATTTGCATATTCCCTCTAAATTGATTGGTGTATTATGCTTATCTATTTATATAAAAGCCAAGTGATCTTTTTGACCGAACAACTGGAATGACCAGTCACTATGATGCGCACTGACCACTAAGGGGCAGACCCTCAACGCAGGAGGTGCCCCCAGCCCACAGGCCCTGATTGCCAATGGGGCCTGCCAGCTAACCTCCTGATCCCTCCCCATTGCCAGGCCCCCAGGTTGGGACAGGGAACCAGGGGTGGGTGGTGGCGGATGCAGCCCCTTTCCCAGGGGAGCTGAGGCCAGCTCCCTCTTCGGGCCGGCGGCCAACCTCCTGGGTCCCTCCCCCATCCCTCCTCAATCCCTCCCCCAGCCGGCAGGCCCTGATCAGTTCACTGCCTGCTCGCCATGGTGGTGATTGGCCCCTCCCCCCAGCCGGCAGGTCCCCATCACCCAATTGGGGTGGGCCCAGGCTAGGACGGGGAACCAGGAGTGGGTGGCAGCAGATGTGGGCAGTGAAGGAAGGAGAAGGGGGGGAGGCAAAGTGGTGGGGAACCGTGCAGTCGTGGCGTGCAGTGGCGGCACGCAGGACAGCGAAGGAAGGAGGGGGCGGGGCTGCAGGGAGGTGGGGAATCTGATCAGCCCTGATCACTGGCCAGGCCTAGGGACCCCATCCATACACGAATTTCATGCACTGGGCCTCTAGTAAATATTATAGTAGATTATATTATTTAAATTTATAATTAAGTTCAATATTTTTATTTGGCAAAGTATTAAAAATGTATACTATGAAATATATTCAGTTATTTTGAACCACATAATTAAGTAGAAAATAATATTACTGACAAAATATATGTAAAATGGATTTATTGAATAGCTTATGAAAGACATTGTCTTGTAACTATTGTTATAAGATTACATTTACAAATTAAATATTTGCTAAAGAATTTTTTAATTAAAATATTAGTGAGGTAATTACATATTATTTATGTACTCTGCATTTTGACAGATTTAGAGAAATATATTTTTCTTATATTTAAAAAAACAATTGTCAACCCATAACTTCAGGTGTTTCTAATGTGCAGCCAGAATTAAGAACCAGTATTGCAGACTAGAGCTTTTCAAATAGACTATGCTTGCAGCCCCCTGGGAGTCATCTATAATTGTAGTTTCTGATTCAGTGAGTCTGGAGAGCCCAAGACTGCTTTTAGAACAGGAGATGCTGATGTTACTGGTCCTGGGAAAGGCACTTTGAGTATGGAGATCCTTCCAAGACAAGATTCCCATGAAATCCCAAAATGATTACCAAGCAGATAGAAGCTCCTTGTCCAGTTCTCTAGGGGAAAGGACTGCTCTTTGTATTTTTATTTTTTTAAATCTCTGAGTGTGCAAGGAAAAAAAAAAAGCTGCCAGTAGAACTCTAGGTCCTTCATGCTTGTTCTAGAGGGAGCAGCCCGGAGTGGGAAGGGAGGAAAAAAGCTTTCCTTACTCCTATCCCCTCCACCCCCCACCCCCCGCCACCTTTGCTATATTTAATCTTACATATGCAGGTTTATTTTGTTGTTCTTGTTCTGTGCTGTCCCTGCCACACCCCTCTCCCTTGTACACTCCCCCACCCCAAGACCACCGTCTGTTAACCTGCCAAGCCTGAGCTTAGGCTATGTGCAGCTGGCTCCCACTAAGTGACGGCAGCTAGGTCACTGCAGGGAAGCCAACCCCCAGCTGCTGAGAAGCTCACCTTTGGCAGCTGTGTCAGTCCCTGAGGCCCAAGTGAAGGTGCTGTGCCCACACAGGCTGCCCCACCTGCATCCACAGTGGAGTAGGCCTGGCCAGGCACAAAGACAACACCTGCGCTGCAGGGCTGGCGAGGCCTCAGCCAGAGGGGCAACCTCCTGCCTAAATGTTTTGATGATAGTGTTTTTATTGATTAGCCATACAGTATTAGTTAATTTATTATCAAGTTACAGAAGAGACTGTGTTGTTGTTATTTAAGTACCACCAATCACAGCTTAATAGGTACTGCATAACCAACCATTTAATAGTAATTTTACTGTACAGAATTGGTCATCTTACTTCTTAATTATTAGATCATTTACAAGAAGTATTTTTATAAAAGCAAACATAAACTATCAAAAATAACACAGTTATAACGTGTGTGTGTTAGTGTTCATGCCTAGTACATAGTGTATTTCTACTATCAATAAGATTGCTTTCATTTAGATTTGTACAAATATTCATCAACATATGTACCTACAGTAAGATAGTTATTTTATTTTGACTCATTTAGGTAGGAATTAAATTTACTCCAAAAAAGTTATGGCTGCCCTTGCTGGTTTGGCTCAGTGGATGGAGTGTTGGCCTGCGGAATGAGGGGTCCTGGGTTCAATTCCGGTTGGGGGCACATGCCTGGGTTGCGGGCTTGGGCCCCAGTAGGGGACATGCAGGAGGCAGCCAATCCATGATTCTCATCATTAATGTTTCTATCTCTCTTTCCCTCTTCTTTCCTCTCTGAAATCAATAAAAATATATTTTTTTAAAAAATTAATGGCAGTTATTCGTTTCTGTCCTCAATATATAAGCAGAAGCCCTAAGCATATATTTATTATTGTTAAATTAGGATTTTTGTATATTTTTAAATAGAACATTTTATGAAAATATGTTGAGTTCTAAAATAAGTAGTTTGTTAAAAACATTTATTAATGTAATATATGTTCCTGGAAAATTACTTTAATTTTGTATGATAGTCTTAATTTAGAAAGTGGCCAGCAGTGATTTCTCTAAGACCAGAAATAACTGAGCCTTTTTACCGTTCTTGACTTTTGGATGTACACCTAGCATAGGATCCTTTTTTCTAGATTTTCCATTCCTGTAAAAATGTACTCTGAAAATAATATGGATTTAAGCAAAGATAAAAATCAATAACACTATTCATCATATAACTTTACTCATTTATATTTTAATGTTCATGATTTTTTGGTGAAAATTTAGTTATTTGCATTCCATTTTTATGTTTTCGCCATATGCATATAGCATATATACCTTATCCTATCTAATAATAGACAAACAGGGTAATTGACCTTACCTTCGCTATGCTTCCCATTGGCTAATCAGCAAGATATGCAAATTAACCACCAACAAAGATGTCAGTTAATTTGCATATGTAGGCGTGAAGCGGGGGAGCAAAGACTGAAGGTGGCTCTGGCCAGAGCAGTGAAGGCTTTGAAGGCGGCTCCAGCTGGAGCAGCGAAGGCTTTAAAGGTGGCTCTGGCTGGAGCGAAGGCCTGGGTCCCCGGTGCCGAAGGAAAACCGGTGCAGGCAGCCAGGGGAAGGGAGGGCCTATTGCATGAATCTTTTTGTAAAACAGGCCTCTAGTTTATTTAATATTTGTCTACTCACTTTTTAACTAATTCAAAATTTTAAAGTACATTTATTTCAATATAATAACTAGAAAAGTTTTGTGACTAAAAAGTCATCCCTGCCAATTCAGTATCAACAAGATTCCCAGACTTGGGGTTTGGTGAACTGGGAGAATTTATTCAATCAAAACAAATCAATTGTGAAACAGTGTGTCTGTAAAACAGTTGAGTTGTTTCACAGCATGGATATGGAACAGCACAGCTTGGAACAGGCCGGGTAAGGTAGCCCACGCAGGGAGGCTGCAGTGTCACAGCTCCCATCCCACAGCTGCTCAGACAAGACAGCTCCACTTTGCCCCAGCGAGACAGCTCCTCCCCAGTGTTACAGCTTCTGCCAGGGAAACACAATTTTCAATGGAAACTGAAAGTGTGCTCCAAGAGATAGAGGGGAGATTGACACAGACGTTTCCAACCCTTGTCCCTGATTGGTCAATTTCTATGCAAATGAGAACTCCAAATACTCACAGTTTGCTTGGTCCAAATAGCAGCATCCTCATTGGTCAGAGGGAGCCATTCTGACTGGCTGTTGAAATGCAAATGCGGATTTAGCTGCACAGCTCTGGTTGCATGGGGAAAGTCTCAGTCTTGCTGGCAGCATTTTTATCCTAGGAGCTCCCTCACAAGGGTCTACTCAGAAGGCAGGAGCACAGTACAGCAGGCTTGGCAGGTTACTCTGTAGCTTTTCACAGTGTGCATGAGAGGCCTCTGTCAACAATGGCTGCTAGACTGGTTATAAATTTGGGCCTGATTAACCATAAGGAGCCCTTCTTGGCAGGTATATTCTTATCGGCGTCAACACTTGTTTGCCATAATAAATAAAAATGATTAAAAATAAAGCAATATAGTTATCAAAACGATATCTGGATCTTGCTTGCTAAGGTCTCTGAATATAAGGCCAGCTCTCATTTTGTTAAAAAGGTTTTTTATCTTAGCCCTTAAGAAAGGTATTAAAGATACCCAAGCACCACCCTGGGACTTTGAGTGTTCAGAAGGACTGAGGAAGAAATGGAACATAAATACATTTTTTTTTTTTATTATTAGTTAAGGTATTACAAATGTGTCCTCATCCCCCCCATTAACCCCCAACATAAATACATTTTTAACAGTGTGGGTCAATGTAGTTTAGTGCCATCTCTCAGGACTCCACAAATGATTTCCTTTCCTGCTGGTTATGGACATCCCCACACTGATAAGCACTGCTGATCTGTGTATGTGTGTTTCAGGTATGCTTTTAAAAATTAACTACCTAAAGTAAAATGTAAAGTCACTGTTGTGTTGCTAATTTTGAATAACTAATTTAATTCATTAATATTAACATATGTTGACTTTTCTGTGTATGTGTGACATTGAACTCTGATATCCAAAGTGTATTTAAATTAAAATATGTTGTACAGGTGCAAATAAAAGAACTCTAGCAATAATAACAAAAATTATTTTGTCTATTTTTACAGCTTGCAGACCAGGATTCTATAAAGCATTTGCTGGGAACACAAAATGTTCTAAATGCCCTCCACACAGTTTAACCTACATGGAAGCAACTTCTGTCTGTCAGTGTGAAAAGGGTTACTTCCGAGCTGAAAAAGACCCACCTTCCATGGCATGTACCAGTAAGTCTATATTTTGCATTAGGAAATCCTATTTCAGACCCTTTTGGCCTCTATTCTAATATTTTTAAAATGTAGATATACAAAATCCTGTACCATCAATGCTAATTGTCTTTGGTAACTGTCAAGAAAAAGTTTTTCTTTATTACCAGCAGTTTTTAGCTCCTTGAAAAGAATGTGTTTACTCCTCAAAATTCACATTTATCCTTCACATGCAAATACCAAACACTGGTTTGGAGACCTGTAAATTTTCCCTAACCATAATCAGTCCTTAGGAAATTAAATAGTTTAAGGCTGCCTGAGAATTTATAAGCAAAACTTCTCTTCTTTGCTTCCACCATTGACCATTTTTTTAGGCAGTTCAAGTTAGGACAATCTAGTTTTCCATGTGAAGAAACTTCCTCAGGAGACAAGAGCCATTGTGCTATTGTTATGTGGAAACATTTTGAGTTTTCTTTGACATTTTTCTTTAAAGGAAGATATTTCTGAGTTTGTTTACATTTCATCTCTCACTCTTTCTCCAATTTTGGGGTTGGAACAAGTAGATTTAAATCTAAATGTTAAGGTCATTTTAATGCATACACTAAGAATTTTAAATTATTTGTATTTGTTATTAAAGTATTGTGAAATATCTGTACATTACAAAAATAAAAATGAATATATTAATGCATTGCTAGGCTATGCAAAAGTAAAATATCACCTCTTAGATAGTTATAAAAATCTTTTAAATACATGAATAAGATAGTATAGTGACATTTTGCCCATCTTTTTGATGAATTGGTGCCAAAATATTACTTATCTTGTATAATTTCTTAGAGGCAAAAATATATTGAGAATTATGTAATGTGACATATTCCCTAGAGGAAATAGATATGGCCTATTTTTTGTAACTAATACAGTTGTTAGATTTGTCTGTATTACTACAGACTTTCATATAAAATATCTTTATGAACACATTTAATAAAAATGCAACACATTCATTAATAGATGTAATTCTTACTTTTTTGCAAATGCTGAGACACTACCTTATTCAGAAATTTGTAGCTTGGAAAATTACTACCTTGAAATTTTTTCCCCCTAAGAAAATATTTTAAGTTTATAAATGGGAAAAGGAAAATTCTAAATATAATTTCTCAAGTGATTTGGAAATAGTTTTGAACAGGAAGAGCTTGCTATTACTGTACACAGGCAATCCTTCTTGCACAGTTGGTGTATATCATTATGTTATATTGTGGATAACATACACCAGCTTAGGTAGATGGTGGAGTTTGAAATAGCTACAGTACTACCAGGCAAATATCTCTCAAAACCTATATCAGAAAGGGAATGGAGCTTCTCATGTGAGTGATAGAAGAGAATATCCTCCCTTTATTTTCTTAGTTCATAAATATACAGTTAACAAGTTGAAGGAATATATCGGGTCTTATTATTATAACCCTTCATGAGGTAGCAACATAGGTAGTTCGCAAGACTTATGGTTCGTTGGAGCAAGAGACTAATTAAGGAAATAAATAGGGATGCAACAAGGTCTATGAACCTGGCAAACTAGTCAGTCAGTCATTATTGATTCAGATATGTGTATTTACCAGCTTAATGTTTGATGTTTTCTGGATTTTCTTTCATTAAAAGAAATCTTTTTTTATGCTTGATATTATAAATTACTAGAGGCCTGATGCATGAAAATTCGTGCAAGAATAGGCCTTCCTTCCCTTGGCTACTGGCACCGCCTTTGCTCTTGCCCGGAGCTGCCTTTCTGCCTTCACTGCAGCCTGGAGCCGCCTTTCCACCTTTGTTCTGGCCAGAGCTGCCTTTCCACCTCTCACCTTGTTGCATCAATTTACATATTCCCTCCTTATTGGCTGTGGGCAATGCCATCTTTGTCACAAAGTTACAGTCAATTTGCATATTCCATCTTTATTAAATAGGACATATTTAAAATGTTTGCCTGCCTTAGCTATACTAAGTGCAATTCAAAAATGTTTAATTCTGGTCATTGTTGGGCAGTGCTTTAGGCAGGGAACAGCATTCTATGTTGCCATCTGGGATTATAGCTAGAACTCCCCCAAAAAAGCTGAAAGCTTTGGTCAGGTCTCCTGGTCCAGTCCTAGGAGGTTCCCCTCTCAAGGCTTCTCTCTACTGCTTCCTTGAGGACTTCTTTGCCCTGTTTTAGCAAAGACTTAGCATAGTGTGTTAGTAATTTACCGTCTTTAAGAGTCAAATTATCTGAGTATAAATCTTGGTTTTGGTGCTTTCTACGTATGTAACCTTGGACAAATTATTTAACCTCTCTTTGCCTCAGTTGTACCATTTGTAGTGATCATAACAGTACCAATCTCATTCTTTTGTTATGATGATTAAGTTGATATTTGAAAAGTGCTAAGAACAATACCTAGCACAAAGTAGGTGTCTGATGTCAGTAACGTTTTTGAATTACACTCTGATTAGATGAGAGACCCTTGTTGTTATTGCAGTATATTCAGGAAAAGGGAGACACATAAACTCCAAAGCATCATAGCTCATACAATTAAAGGATTAGATTATTGGGAAAGAAAAATCAGGAAAATGACAAGTCAGGAGGTCATTGAACAATTTGACAGTTAGACCCTGGTCCTTCTTAAGAGGACCACCAGGGTTTACCAAGACACGGTACTTTGAAGCTACAAATAAAGCAAGTAGTCAACCCTTCCTATCTTCCATTAACCACAAACAATATTCAGATTTTAATATCTATAAGCTCCCTTGACTTTGAGATCATATATCTACAAATTAGCCATTCTTTAATGCCTTTATTCCAATTGTGTATTATATAAGGGTTAGAATTCAGGTCAGGTAAACAGTCAATCCCATCACTTTCTGATGATTTTTGTCAGTGTAAGCCTTTGAAACTGTTTTTAGAGAATTTTCCAGGGGGTTAAAAGGAGATATCTTTTTCCTTAGAATTAGGGGCAGGGACATTTTGAATGTATGAGTTTAAAAGAAAATAAAGGAGTAAAATATTGGGAATGACTAACCAGGAATTTTGGCTGATAAACAGCATAATAAGGACAGAGTTCATATATGTATTTTGTGTGATTATATAAATGATATGATTTTAAGGACTCTAAGGAAGTCACTCCCTGCCTCTTAGTGCCATCAACAACCCTTAAGTTTCTGGTACAACAATGCATGTGATTTCACCATTAAGATTTCTAATGAACAAAATAAATAGACAAACAAAAAAGAAACAAACTCATAGATACAGATAACAGACTGACTGTTGTCAGAGGGGAGAAGGATTAGGGGGCTGGGTGGAAAAGGTCAAGGGATCCAGCAGTACAAATTGGTAGTTACAGAACAGTCATCGACATGTAGATTACAGCATAGGGAATATAGTCAGTAATATTGTGACAAATATGTATGGGGCCAGGTAAGTACTTGAAGCAGCAGGAGGACCACTCTGTGACGTACATGATTTTCTAACCACATTGCTGTACATATGACACTGATACAGAAAAATATTGAATGTAAACTATAATTGAAAAAATATATATATAACAATAATTTTAGCGTTTGATAGCCCTGGCCAGTGTGGCTCGGCTGGAGCATTGAATATTGCTTTCTCTCTTTCAATACAGAGATATGTGTCTTTTTTTATTTCATGATCTTGAAACATGTAACATACATAATTTATTTAAATAAAGATTTTTGTTAATATTGCTTTCTTTTAGAACAGTTTTAGATTCACAACAAAATTAAGAGATAATATGGAGATTTCCCATGTATCCTCCTACCTCTGATGTTCATAGCTTTCCTCACTATCAACATCCTCATCGGAATGATACATAGGTTACAACTGATGGATCTGCATTGACACACCATAATCACCCAAAGTCCATAGTTTACATTAGGGATCACTCTTGGTTTGTATATTCTATGGATTTGGAAAAACTTATAATGACATGTACCCATCACTGTAGCATCGTACAGACTATTTTCACTGCCACAAAATCTGTGCCCTGCCTATTCATCCTTTCCTCCCACCAACCCATGGCAACCACTTATCTTTTTACTGTCTCATTCATAATACAGTATGTAGCCTTTTTAGACCGGCTTCTTTCACTCAGTAATATTTATTTAAGACTCTTCCATGTCTTTTTAATGGCTAGATAGATTATTTGTTTTTTAGTGCTGTCTGGGTGTACCACAGCTCATATATCCATTTACCCACTAAAGGACAGCTTGGCTGCTTTCCAGTTTTGGCAATTATGAATAAGCTGCTAAACATGAATGTGTAGCTTTTTGTGTGGACATAAGTTTCCAGCTCCTTTGAGTAAATATCATGAAGTGTGACTGCTAGATTATATGGTAAGGGTTTGTTTAATTTTATAGGAAACCACTAAATTATTATTTTGCATTCCCACCAATAATGAATGAGAGTTCCTGTTGCCCCACATGCTTGCCAGCATTTGATATTGTCAGTGTTGTGTATTTTGGCTATTTCTAATAGGTGTGTAGTGGTATCTCATTGTTGTTTTAATCTGCATATCCCTGATGACATGCTATGCAGAGTGTCTTTTCATATGCTTATTTTCCATGTATAAAGTTTTTGGTGAGGTCTCTACATAAGGATTTGTAGATGTTTCAAAAAGTTGAAACAAACCAAAAAAGATGTCTCATCATCATAGCTAACCTCTTGAACAGTTGTGTTGGTGGTGGTGGTGAGGTAATCTGATCCTTGAACTTTCTACTGGCCTGGCTATCATTGTTAATGTCCTCTTTTGACTTTTTTTTTTCTCACTAACTTCTAGCTCATAGCCTGTAAGTACACTCAACCTCTATCCTTTAAAAAATGCTCCCAATCCAATATTATTTCTCCTCAAAAACACATCTTGGAAAAGCAGTCTTCACTGGCTATAGCTACTTCTTCGCTTTTAATTTAATTTTCATTCTACTGCATTCAGATTTTTGCTCTTCACTCTACTGCAATCAGATTTTTCTTCCACCACTTCAAGTATACTGTATAA